TGTGGAGTTTAGAGATTTGCTGAAGTCGTCGAACGATAAATAATTTTATCTACGACTTACTTTTTTGCTATTAAATAAATCAACAGTATTGGTACGTAAGGGAAGTAAAAGTAGGATTAGGGGTAATATAAAAACTGAGGACAAAAACCTGGAAGAAGTCGTCGATTTTCGATATCTAGGAGGTCAGGTTAGTGACTAATTTCAAAATCCAAAAGTGACTATTCAAACTGTAAGTTTTCACTAAGGAGAGGGATGTAGCTGTTGAAAGAGGATCATAAAAAAAAAGGTTAGAAATGATTTCTGGAGATAGTAAGACAAAAGTCAATAAGGAAAAAGATAATAGGAGTTAAAATGAAATATTCATATTTCTACAAATAGCCACGTATCTAACCTTTGTGTCTTTTCTTCCTATGCCTTTACTACATTTCTTCTTTAGCATTAAGAGTTACGACAAGTTTAGGTCATATTTTCAACGTAAAACGTAGACTCATATTTCACTTAAATAGAAAATGTGTTTTTGGCGACCATTAAACTGGAAACATAGGAAGCAAAGATTAAATTTGAAATTTATACTGTATGTAGGTACATATGAGTTACTCAATATTCCATTTTATTGCTGATTCATTTTGAATTTATGAACCTTGGTACCTATATTTCAGTTTGGGTAATCCAATTTCATTACTATAATTAAAGAAACTAGAAATGGATTTTTAGTTGGTAATTTATGGGCTTCCTGGTCATTATTAATCAAGACTTCATCCCAAGTCGAGTGTTGAAGTCATTACTCAGGGAAAAAGAACTTCCAAATTTGTTGTCCACGAAACGTTGAGGAAGAGGAAGTCCAAGAATTGCAAATTATTAAACATATATCAAACACTCTGTAGAGTGACCTAACACTTCACAATTTTTTAGTCAAGTACATAGTAGGTGTTTCAATTAAGTCTAAAACTGCGTCCCTTTGTGGGTTCTTCAATCCCGCGGTAACAAAAAATGCAAACCACTACGTTATTCTTTAATGTTACTCGTATCAGCGAGCAGAGGGTGTGTAGAGTAGTACCTACCTGTAGACATAAATCTTTCAAGTTCTTTAAAAAAAATTACACCGCTTTAAAAACTCAGCCGGTTAGATTTACGGCAGTGTTCCACTTTGTTTCGAGAGTAATTCGCGCATATGGAGTAGATACTTAATAAATTAGACGTACTCGAAACGAAGCTTCTTTTTTGTAATTGGAAAAAGAAGATTTAAATGTCTACGAAATGTCCTCCTTCATTATAAGTTGACCCCTCCGAATATATTATTCTTTATTTTATGAATCTGAGATTAAAATTTAGCAGTTGGAATTCTGCGCTTGTGGGTCAAGAGATATATTAATTTGGTGAACTTATTTCGTGCATTTATTCTTAATACATTTCCTGGCACTTATTACAAAAGGTATGATTAATATTTTCACGACGCCACTGTTTTCCCATAACATTTTTGACACGCTGTCGCCGTGAGAAGCGGAACATAAGAAAAATTATCCCCAAAAATCCTCTTAGCTGTCGACGCTCTAATGTGACCTACATTTCGGTACGCCGGCTAAATGTAATAGTCCATAAAACGTGCGGGGTTGATCACGTTTGGAATTATTATTGTGCTGAAGTTCACCCCTCACAATAACCACAAAAAGATATGGCAAATGGCAGAATTGTATTCAAGTCAATTTAGGAAGGCAGAGTCGCTAGTAAATTATTGGAGTAAAAGTGGACCATTTAACTGCCCCATTTTTTTAATACATTTTAGAATATAGAATTGTATCATAACTAGTTGAACCCGTCCAAATTTGGATGGTACACACTCTAAACGTAAACATTGTATATGCACAATAATATTTGTCTTACTGGTTACATTTTCTTTTAAATGTAGTAGTCATTGACGTGATATTAGACCGAACTTGACATTTTATCATTTTATTTATAGTATCTGGCACAAGAACCATCAATTATAAAGGTTGGTAAATACTTTCATACATAATAATTGCTCTATTGAACGGCTATTATTGTGCTTGAAAATTGAAGCAGCCCCTTAGTCGTCTCGCTAAGTGTTTTATGAGGAAAACAAAGTCGTTGATGAATAATTCACCAACAATCAACTCACTAATAGCGCTAACCTACATGCAGTTTAAACCCTTTCTAGAGAAACTCAAAAGATAGGGCATTCCCTTTTGTTGCGGAATATACGTTTGGTATAAAAATAAAACAAAGATATTGTTATCTAGGGGATGTAAAAGTATGTAGCTCGTAGAGTTAACATAACAATAGCACATGAAAAACTAAAAGAAATCATCAGATAATTCAGAGACATACAGTGATAGTAGAAGCAACTGCGAAGGGTTATTCAAGAGATGTGTATTCAACAGGTATCAGTGTTCGGGTTGTAGACCTTATAAATTTTTTAATCATATAGAACAATTTTACAAATAATATTTTTAATGTGTCCTACTGAAAAGAAATAGTGATGATGGTCTCAGTCACTAATGTTTTTTCTCATCAGGAAACAGGTCTTTTTTTTATCGTATGTAAAGAGTGGAGGTGCATGTCTAGCCAGTCTTATGACTGACGACCTTATGATGATGATGATGAATCAAAGTAACTAGAAATCTCAAAATTCAACCCCTAAGCTGGCCAAGAATCTAATATGCTATTATTATTATATGATTCCTTGAAATAAATGTTATATTATATCGGTGTTACTCATTGAATGAAGACAACATTTCCCTGTTAGGTATACATCAATTCTTTGTTAATTACATTTTTTTTTCGAGAGGTACTTAGGAACAAGTCTAATATTTCGGACTATTCTTCTCAAAGAGCTGCTAGCAATACCTCAGGATTTTCTTTCAGAAATGTGAAAGTTTCAAATGGATCTTTTGTGTCTGAGGTTCCAGTACAGGCTTCTGATACGACAAAAGTTCTGCTATATATTACCTCTTTCATTCATACATTAGTCTTTCAAGTTACAATGAGACCTTTGTAGCTCATCATGAGACTATCAGGCGCAGTGATATTATGTCTTCTATCGCACTTTACAATCTGCAGAATTATCCAGAGGAAACTTCAAAGTGCATTATTGCAGGAAAAAAATGTTTACCGGAAAATTAAAAAAACCATTTAGACAACTTTTCAAAGGAAAATTATAATTTTTGGAACCATATTTTGAATCGAAAGTATAATTAAAAATTGCCCTCATTACAAATTCCTAAAGGAATGTATTCCTGAAGGAAAATATTACGTTTATACGTTGTAGTTTGTTATATATGCGATCCAAGTGTTTTTAATTAATATTGAAGAACTATCCACAAATTTTTAAACTATGAATCACTTGTCATTACTACAACCGCGTATAAAAAGCAGAATTAGGTAACGAGCGTGAGCGCCGTTTGAGATATGGTAAAAATAGTTGAAAACAAACACAAAGAATTCTCCAACCGTTCGATTGTTATGAGAAATTCTAATATCTATTCGGAATCCACTGATGTAGTGAGAACAATTAAGTTCAGCAAAGCCAGCTCTGGGAATGCTTTTGAAGGAGCAGAAACAAAACCGATTGATGGCTGCAACGAACAGTTCGAATCGAATCTGACAGGAAGGAAATGAAACTTTGATTAACATGCACAGGGTGTTCGAAAATCGAGCAGTTACGTATACGCGGAACATTCGATGCTCTGATGAAATAGTGGGGAAAGCCTATGCAACATGGGGGGTTGCATATCGTCACAAGATCGTGAAACAGTCTTCACAATACCAGGAAACTACAATATGCCACACTCGGTCTTCTCTTCGCTCCTGTTTGTGGTTCTTGTTCATTGTTCTCTTGCCTAGGCGAATACTGTAGGTATGGTCTCCCTACTTTGGATTTCCAACCGTAGTGGGATTATGGTAAACGAGATGGTAGTAGGTAAAATATCCCTACTTTGGATTCTTAACCGTAGTGGGATTATGGTAGTAGTTGAGATCTTCCTACTTTGGATTTCCAACCGTAGTGGGATTATGGTAAACGAGATGGTAGTAGGTAAAATATCCCTACTTTGGATTCTTAACCGTAGTGGGATTATGGTAGTAGTTGAGATCTTCCTACTTTAGATTCCCAATCGTAGTGGGATTATGGTAAACGAGATGGTAGTAGGAAGATTTCCCTACTTTGGATTCCCAACCGTAGTGGGATTATGGTAAACGAGTGGTTTATGGTGGATGGTATTGTAAAAAATTAAAAAGGATATTTTATAGAAATTGTTCTAGAGACTTTGGAAAAGCCAATTCCCATCTTGAACAGAATCTAAGCAGAATCTTTTGTAGAGAGGGAAGGTGAAGCTTGATTATTTATTCAAGGACAGTCCTACCTAACTTTAAGTTCGTTTTCGGCATTTCAAAGTCTAAAAATAGTTATCATTTTCTAGTCAACAAATGCAAAATCTCGTACTATGTATGAAGCTAGTGAAAAATGGTAATGTATGAGACCTTTGGGTTTTTAAGATAAAGTTTAGAATGAGAAGTGACTCCCTATTGAACAAATAATATAATAATGCAGATGTATTTTCTTTATGGAGAGACCTACATCAAAAAAGCGCAAGGCAACGAATTTTGGCACACTCCTAAAGGTCAGTTGCCCGTAACTAATTTAAGCACTGGGACTACGAAAATATCTTTCTAATTCTGATCGTCCAATAATTTATTAAATATAATGAGGGACAATAAGGTAATGGTCAGTAATTTTGTTTCAGTATATGACTATACTCTACTTATATCTTGGTACTAAATGTAGCTTTTCCATGGGTCACACAAAAATCCCAAAAATGCTCAAAATTTATTCATTAAAACCATATTTTGCGAGCATTTTAAACTATTTGTAATTAAGAGTACTAGAAGTAGGAGTACATAAAATACAAATAATAATAATAATGAGTACCTACTAATGCAGTTAAATATTCAAGTGAAACTAATTTTGGTTTTCCTTTTTACAGATCGATTCGAACCACTACAGCGAAACCAAACAACTGCATCATTGGTAAGTCATATACCATCTACTTAATAGCAGTTCAGAGATAGTGTTTGCAATAAGTCATAGATACATGTACAATGGAAGGCCTCGACATTTTACGTTCATTATAAAAGATTGCGGTACGATTGGTCATACGGTTCATCCGTTCCGATTCTTAGACACAAATGTCGTGCAAGTGGTTGTCAGTGATGCCAAAAGAAAGGTATTGTACATGCGTCTCAAAAACATCAAAACAGTTCATCATGGCAATGTCCATATGACTAAAACTATAGGATGTTTTGAGTAAAACTACCAAGTACTTCTACATTTCGTAGCATCTTGCTTTTGTTGCTTCCATTTGTTGTTCTATAATTTATTGTATATTTGCGCCGAGGTGCTTCTATGTATAGAAATGGTAAGCACATTATGTACAATGCAATACTATTTACTACATATGTATAGCAAACCCAAAATTGCATAGACTACAACTGACTTTATGTATATGTATACATATATTTTAGATATGTACATTCATATATCTATACTATTTAGTACCCGGTTTTAACCCAGCAAGAACTATGTACACAGTGCAGCTTATATACGTATTATGTCTATGTATCTGTCCATATTTGTGCATGTGCAAGTGCTTAATTTAGAACTGCAAAAACCTACCCGCACTGCAAATAAACGAAAAGAGAACCTGTGCAGCGCATTCACGCCGATTTAATTGGAAAAAAATAGGATGGCGTGGAATAATAGAGTTAAAACGCATCCACTGGCAGCTCCAGTTTTCAAACACAAACCTATTATGAAGAATAATTACCAATTTTATCCGCGCTTCCCAGTAAATAATGACAGTCAAAAGTTTTGCGACAAATTGCTGTCTGTGTATTGCCCACGATATGATGATTACAATGCAAGGTAGTTTTTGTTGACAGCTCGTAAACCATTTCCGTTGGATTTGTCTTCTTTCTGAGGATTGTGTAGAGGAAAGTGCTATAATTTTTGCTATCCAATTTCTTTTGTCCAGATTTACTGGATCAATCAAATACCTCTTCAATTTTCCCTTACATCTTAGAAACATTAGAAGATATCGGGTTTTGAGGACATTTTCTTTGGAAATTTCTTCCCAACGTTTCGTCTGCAACTGCGACAGGTCGAAGATGTGTCGAAGGTTGAAGCCAGAACATAGACCAGAAAGCCCAAAATCTAATCCAATATATTATTGCAGATAGCCATGTAATATTGGTAGAAAGAAAGTTTAAATACCTTTACTTTCTCTATTATTAGATAATTTTCGAATCCGTTAAGTTAGTTAGTTAATATGCGAGATAATAACACGATCTGTTTTCATAAATAAAAATGACAAATTACCAGTTGGTCTCTAGGACAGCAGGACTTTAATCAGGTGGGTGGGATACTAATCAATAAGAAAAAGGACTGCGAAAGCAAAAAAGTAACACCGAAATGAAAGTAAAACCAAGGGAGAGACGAATGGAATTAATAAAAAGCGCTAGTGATTTATGATGGTTTATTACATTTCGGCAAAAAACGGACGAGACGTGTATTAAGCTATTTAGTAATGACCAAGCGGTTTTTCATTTTTGTTTCCCACATAAGTACCTACCTATTATATATAAAAGCTGTTATTAAAATAATAAGCGAAAAATATATTGAGAAAAAGAGAAAAGCCACTCGTAGAATTCGCGTGCCGACAGTTAAATCAAAAATCAATAAATGACAAACTTCATTATCATTTTATAACTCATCTCGTAAATGCAGCAAAATTACGTTATGACAATTACAAGTTTTTTGTCTTTAATATCCTAGAAGTGACAAATAAAAAACCAATGACATTCCAAAAAATGATACTAACTAAAATCTACATACAATTGAGACAACTTTTAGAAGTGAGTTAGTTTAATATGAAATATTAATCTGAAAATTTGAATTTTTCCCTCATTAATTTGAGGTAGCGTGTAATGGGTAAAAAATTCAAAAAATGAATTTTCAGATTAATATTTCATAGTAACTAAAATCTATATAGGCTAAACTGGAAGAGGTTTCAAAGAGAAAATTAAACTACACAAAAAATGCGTTGTAAATAAAATTTCTATTCGACTTATACGCAAATAATTTAGTAGAAATGGAAAATATCACAATTACAATTCCACAGAAAGGAATTAAATTAAATCTACTCGAAAACCTCAATATTAATAAGTTAGGTCTAATTATTATTGATCAGTTGTTGTTCAGCTAGAATTTAAGTTAATTTATTATTTAGTATATTACTTCTCTGCGTAAGTAAGCCAACGTGTGTTTACCTGTTTTGTGTTTATTCAATTCCTTCGTGCTTTTCGTGTGCGTATTGTTCGAATTTTTCCGTTTCATTTTAAAGGATTTTTATGTTCAATAATCTTTAGGCCAATTATGCAAATCTCTTTCGATTTTATTCTAAATTTACCCTTCAGTAAACAAGTACGTCTTCCGTCGTCTCTACCACAGCTGTCATCCGGAATCCTTTCAGGATGTTGTTGTTTCCATTCGGCCAAGTTTGAACAACAGTGTATTTCTTCCCACTTATACAAACATTATACTCTGCAGAAATATGTATCGGGTAAGTGTATCAGGGACAATATTTAGGGGAATATTGTAAAGACTTTTCGCACACGTCCCCAACTAAAAAAATTGATTTTATTTCGAAGCAATGAAGAAACACAAAAACAATTTCTTCTTTGTATTGCTAGCCCGGAAAAGTCGCTTATTTTTTATTGATCTAATATGATTTTACGTGCTTTTTTATACAATAAATAACTTTTAAGCCTTACTAAATTACTTCCATCTCCTGGAAATTTGTTTAGATTATTTAAATCAATAGACCGAAACCGTTGGCACTCTAACTTCGCGGATTTTTACTGATTAGCGAACAAGAAATTTAAAAAATTTCATAATTGCGAATTGTACGTAATAAATGTCTTGCGCAACATTAACTTTAGAGCATCTTTTGACGATGTCTAACTAGACATTCCCCAATTAAGAGTTTTGTTATAGATCACCGCGTCTTATCTAAAAAGCTACTGCTGATTATATCGACTACTGTTTCCTCTCGTCATAGAAATCCTCATTTAAATTTTAGATTTGTGATTCCTTAAGCATGTAATTATAAATTACTCCAGTTAGTGCTTACTTTGGTACAGTTTCGTGTTTGGGAGTTTTACTTGGAAACTTAATTAGCGTGAATAAAATACAATAAACCATAGAAATAAAGCACCTTAGTAGCTAGTGAGTTCTATAAAAAGATTAATATTAATGACGAATGTATTGATGATGGTCGTATAAATGTTTATGTGATGTTTTTATTGAATGAGTAACCATGAAGAGTTTGCTGAAAGAAATAATAGCATTAATTTTTAATAACATCTCTCAAAATGGGGTGCAAGAAGGGTATCTATGCAGAATAATATGGGAGAAATAAATATATATTATTAGTTAATATTGATGAAAAGCTCACAGAAGGACTACAAAAAGCAGGTGTGGGAGTCAATTATAAACTAAATGTACCGACTGTAGGCGTTATTACATTGAAATTTTGCCGACAGGGGAGGGTGCGTTATATTGAAGTAACAGATGTCAAAATAAGCCACGTTTGTGTGAAAACTTAAACAAAGACCTGCTGTGGAAAGGGTGTACATAATATGTATTATGAGACGACAAATCGTTTATATTGTTTTAAAAGAACCATGGAAATCCATAACCTGAAACTTCTAAATATTATTCATAAGTTGAGAGAGGATATAGAGAATTTATTCAATAATGCTCTAAGAGGGAATTTAAACCAAAATTTTTTCTACCAGGTTGATGTGTATGTTTGAAGCACGGCTGCAAAACGTTAAAAATACTGTGGATATAGTTGGGACTGCCGCATTCACCTTCTTCATTCAGCAGCGGTAGCTGACAGAACGTCTACTTTTGCTCATGACAGACGTTGTAGGGAATATTGTAAACATACAAAAGAGATGCCAAGTAGGACTTGCAGCGGGCACTAATAAAGAAAAGGAATAACATCACACCAATATATGTGTAACAGAAAGAAATGCAGAGAAGCAGAGTTTGAGCATGTTGCAGCATCGAACTTTAAAGAAAGTTCAACATTCGTAGGAATTTTGGAAGGTAAAAACTCTTAATTAAAGATATAATTACAACCAGGCAGTTATAAAGCCATCCCTGATCTTTGCATGCCTAAACAACCTCTCTCTTTATCCCTTTTCACTTGTCTGTACTGCTCAAGAAACATTTCCTCTATTAACAAAGGCGTATTCAAAATGCAGTAGAAGACTACAGACCCAAGTAGAAAAAAGAAAGAAGATTACAGATAATTTATTGAAAATTGCCAATTTTGATCGTTGCAACTGTAGAAAAGGCTGGAAATGATGAGGCATTAGAAAGAAAAGAGAACAGGGGGCGCTATGGAAGTCAATAAGCAGTAGACAAGATGGGTTGGTACGACATCTTCTCAGACAGGTTGAGCTAATGAAAGACATATTGGGGGGGGGGCAGTAACGGAAGTTCAGAGAGGTAGAGGGAGACCTAGATCAGCAGAAGAATTTATGAGTTTATCATGACGATGAGGATATTTTATTGGTTATTAATATGTTCTAAAAGTAAAGTGGTACCGCGTGCACTTTATATCTACCTAAAAAATGAAAGAGTAATTATAAAAAGTTGTCTGTTCTGTATTAGAACAATTTTTTTTTTTTTTTGAAAAATGTCCTTGTTAATTCAGTTTTTGTTCCTCTTGTATACTTTAGTTCCAAAAAATAACACAATTTTATATATCAAATATGTATATGTATCCAGAACTAACTACCTGTCAAAGACGATAACCTAACAGAATATAATACAATGTAAATAGGCTCGAGTTGTGAAAATATTAGTTTAGGTCACCGTTGCCTTTGACAAATTAATCAGAGTAAACTCAAACTTGGGGTTTACATCGCAATAGAAATTAATGAACGCGCCCGATATGTACGTATGTTGGAAATCAATCATATTTTGACAATTATCCTGCATGAAAAAGGGGAAAGCTTTTTAGTTTTTTTTTCTTTCTTTTTTATTGGTGCCCAAGTCTTAATATGTAACGGCAAATGATAGATTGTGTCAAAGGCGAAGATTTATCACGACCCATTCAATCAAAAACGCCCCCACGGCCTAGGATTAGTTGCAAATTTTTATTGTTCACTTGAAATCTAATCTGTTTTATTTGCTTCATTGCCAGTTACCAATTGGAACCTAAACCTGTTAGAAAATCTTCCGACGAATTAAATTTTCTTTTGGCAGCTAAAATGTACGTGTTGGC